CTCCCCCAGGATTGTTGTTAGTTGGAGGCACCAGTTGTTTCGGGCAAACCATGGATTGATGATTGTTGGTGGTGGGGGAGTATAAACTTTACCATTCTGTTTGGGAACCGCCTATAATATGTGTAGCATGGAAGATATTGAGATCTCTTAGTTGTTATGTTGACATTGAAAGTATACCGCTCAAAATATTATTTATCTCTTCTTCAAAATTGAGCTCTGGCACCTCTACAAATCCCTGCTTCCCTCTGTGAAGGGCCTATCTATTTACTTTTATGTTGAGTCATCACCCTCGTATTAAAAAGCACCAGTTGGAGATCACCGTTGTCATTTGCATGCATTACTATTAATTTATATTGAGTATGACTATGAATGGATCTCTTTTACCATGAATTACAATGTCTAGTTAGTCCTTAATCTTCAGAGGTGCTCTACATTTATGTTTTGCAGACTCAGAAAGGGCTAGCGAGATACCATCTTATTATATCATATTATGATTGTTTTGAGAAAGTGTTGTCATCCGAGATTTATTATTAATGCTCGCTAGTTGATTATGCCATTGATATGAGTAAACATGAGACCTAAGTGTTATTGTGAATATGGTTAGTTCATAATCTTTGTTGAAAAATTGAATGCTGTCTTTACATATTTGCAACAACAAGAGCAAACAGAGTTTGTAAAAGTTTTTCTTTATCACTTTCAGTTTGTCAACTGAATTGCTTGAGGACAAGCAAATGTTTAAGCTTGGGGGAGTTGATACCTCTCCATCGTATCTACTTTTTCCAAACACTTTTACCCTTGTTTTGGACTCTAACTTGCATGATTTGAATGGAACTAACCCGGACTGACGCTATTTTCAGCAGAACTGCCATGGTGTTATTTTTATGCAGAAATAAAAGTTCTCGGAATGACCTGAAAATCCACGGAGCAATTTTTTGGAATAAATAAAAAATATTGGCAAAAGAATCAAGGCCAGGGGGCTCACACCCTGTCCACGAGGGTGGGGGCGCACCCCCTGCCTCGTGAGCCCCCTGGAGCTCCACCGACCTCAACTCCAACTCCATATATTCACGTTCGAGGAAAAAAATCAGAGAGAAGGATTCATTGCGTTTTACGATACGGAGCCGCCGCCAAGCCCTAAACTCTCTCGGGAGAGCTGATCCGGAGTCCGTTCGGGGCTCCGGAGAGGGGAACCCGTCGCCGTCGTCATCATCAACCATCCTCCATCACCAATTTCATGATGCTCACCGCCGTGTGTGAGTAATTCCATTGTAGGCTTGCTGGACGGTGATGGGTTGGATGAGATTTACCATGTAATTGAGTTAGTTTTGTTAGGGTTTGATCCCTAGTATCCACTATGTTCTGAGATTGATGTTGCTATGACTTTGCTATGCTTAATGCTTGTCACTAGGGCCCGAGTGCCATGATTTCAGATCTGAACATATTATGTTTTCATGAATATATGTGAGTTCTTGATCCTATCTTGCAAGTCTATAGTCACCTATTATGTGTTATGATCCGACAACCCCGAAGTGACAATAATCGGGACCACTCTCGGTGATGACCGTAGTTTGAGGAGTTCATGTATTCACTAAGTGCTAATGCTTTGTTCTGGTACTCTATTAAAAGGAGGCCTTAATATCCCTTAGTTTCCATTAGGACCCCGCTGCCACGGGAGGGTAGGACAAAAGATGTCATGCAAGTTCTTTTCCATAAGCACGTATGACTATATTCAGAATACATGCCTACATTACATTGATGAACTGGAGCTAGTTCTGTGTCATCCTATGTTATAACTATTGCATGAGGAATCGCATCCGACATAATTATCCATCATTTATCCATTGCCTATGAGCTCGTTTCATATTGATCTTTGCTTAGTTACTTTTCCGTTGCCACTATTACAATTACTACAAAACTACTAATGTTACTTTTGCCACTATTACCGTTACTTCCATACTACTTTGCTACTAAATACTTTGCTGCAGATACTAAGTTATCCAGGTGTGGTTGAATTGACAACTCAACTGCTAATACTTGAGAATATTCTTTGGCTTCCCTTGTGTCGAATCAATAAATTTGGGTTGAATACTCTACCTTCAAAAACTGTTGTGATCTCCTATACTTGTGGGTTATCAAGGGTCTCCAATTATGTTGTGGAGATCGCCCCGAGCAATTTCACGGGTACCGGCGACCGTCCCCAAGGGTTGCCAAAATGTACGGGTTCGGTGACCGCCCCCAAGGGTTGCCATTTGTACGGGTTCGGTGACCGCCCTCAAGGGTCCCTTAGTGGAATCACGGCATCTTGCATTATGCGAGGGCGTGAGAAGATTACGGTGGCCCTAGTGGCTTCTTGGGGAGCATTATGCCTCCACATCTCTTCAAACAGAGATTGGCATCCGCATGGGTGTGAACTTCAAGATACATCATCGTCTCTGCGTGCCTCGGTTATCTCTTACCCGAGCCCTTTACTTATGCACTTTACTTTGTGATAGCCATAATGTTTCATGTCATATATCTTGCTATCACTTAGTTGTTTATCTTGCTTAGCATAAGTTGTTGGTGCACATAGGTGAGCCTAGTTGTTTTAACTGCTAGGATTATTCCGCATTTGTTCAAGTCTAAACCGTAATTATTTTAAAGGGCCTATTCACCTCCCCCTCTAGGCGTCATTCATGATCTTTCAGAAACCCTAACAGTTCGGTCACACCAATACGGTTCTCGGTCTCACCGAGATGGCCTTGCCAACGCTCTGTGACTTGTTGCATTTATTTTGGTCTCGCCGAGTTATGCAATCGGTCTCACCGAGTTGGCTTGGCATTCTCTCTGTTGCCTTATTGCTTCACTTCGGTCTTGCCGAGTTGATGCAATCGGTGTCATCAAGATGATGTTTGCCCTAAAGCTCTAGCACATTGGTCCCACCGAGATTCCTAATATTCACATTTTGAACTAATCGGTCCCATCGAGTTTAGCTATTCGGTCTCACCGAGATGGGTCAAATGTGTGTAACTGTTGGATTTTGTGTGGAGGCTATATATACCCCTCCACCCCTTCTCCATATGAGAGAGAGCCATCAGAACGTGCCTACACTTCCATCATACATTTTCTGAGAGAGAACCACCTACTCATTTGTTGAGATCAAGATATTCCAATCCTACCACAAAAATCTTGATTTCTAGCCTTCCCCAAGTTGCTTTTCACTCAAATCATCTTTCCACCATATCCAAATCTGTGAGAGAGATTTGAGTGTTGGGGAGACTATCATTTGAAGCACAAGAGCAAGGAGTTCATAATCAACACACCATTTGTTACCTTTTGGAGAGTGGTGTCTCCTAGATTGGTTAGGTGTCGCCTGGAGACTCCGTCAAGTTTTGGAGTTGAATCAAGAAGTTTGTAAGGGCAAGAAGATCGCCTACTTCGTGAAGATCTACTCGAGTGAGGCAAGTCCTTCGTGGGCGATGGTCATGGTGGGATAGACAAGGTTGTTTTTTTGTGGACCATTAATGGGTGGAGCCCTCCGACTCGCACAACCGTTATCCTTCGTGGGTTGAAGTCTCCATTAACGTGGACGTACGTTAGAAACCACGCCAAAAATCTTCGTGTCTTCATTGCATTTCGCACTCTCCAAACCCTTCCCTTTACCTTCATATGCAACGTTTTCCTTTCCACTGCTACACTCTTAAAATTGCATGTGTATGTTGATTGCTTGACTTGTGTTAATTGGTAAAATCTGTCCACAACTAAAATTGGGAAAATGTTATATTTTTATTTGGTCAAGTAGTCTAATCACTCCCCCAGCACGCGCTCTAGACATACTTTCGATCCTACAGCAAGCGGTGTTGCAGTCGTCCAAAACCGAGGTGCAACCGGCAGCGCGCGTTGCTGGAACCAGTAACAATGTGTGTTGCGACCGGCGGCGGGGAATGCTGGCGAAAGCTTCTACCGGCAGAAAAAAAAATCTTTGACCGATGTGGAAAGAAGATTCAACTGGGAGGGGGAGAGCGAACCAACCTGTGGTTGAGATGGTTAGGTGGATAGTGGTATCCCCAACCCACCAGGGTTCAAATCCTGGTGCTCGCATTATTCCTGGATTTATTTTAGGATTTCCGGCGATGCGCTTTCAGTGGGAGGAGACGTTCCCTTCGATGACGAGGCGCCTACGGTGACTTCATAAATCTCAAGATGATATGCCGGCTCAGTCTTTCGGAGGTGATCATAGGGATAGAGTGTGCGTGTGTGCGTTCATAGGGGTGAGTGTATGCGCGTATATATGAGCCCTTGTGTCTGTACTGATGCTAAAAAAACTAGGAGGGGGAGAAGGTTCAACCCGCGTAAGAAAAGCTTCAATTGGCGTAGGAAAAGTTGAGAACAAGCGTGCAAAACACGCCGAGAGCTGCGACCAACGGCACGGTGGTATTGTGACGGACGTGCTATGACTGTGACGACTAGTTGCAACAACGAAGACGGCGACTGTTGTGTACAGCGACGGCGTCCTGAAAACCTGCGAGGGCAGCGAGCCGGCGGTGATTTGATATCGGTCGCCTCAAACAGTAATAACGGTGTCGGCGGCGCTCCGCTGCCTGCGTTGTCATCCTGCTTGCGTTCTGTGTTTCTTTTGTGGAAAAATGAACGATGTGAGGGCTTCGATCTGACGGACACAGAGGCATCAATCGAACAAGCGGCATGCAACCGGCCCAACTCCAGAGGTGACTAATTTGTCAATCTTTTGATCGGTGTGCTTCTAGTATATAAATCTTCCAAATTCTAGTCCAAAACATACAGGACAACAGTTCGAAGGGGAACACTGTTTCCCCGAGTCCCACGAGCGGAGAGACGCGCGCCAAGTCAGTTTCGTACACCCCCCGTCCAAAAGGAAAACTACTAGTAGAACCCATCCATCGCGCCATTTCCTACAACACTGGAATCAAAAGACCCAGGAGCTCCTACCCTACAACATGTACACACAGCTGAGACTCCGTCGCTTCCTGATGTCTCCCACTCGCTCACTTTTTCCCGCGCTTCCTCGTCGGCCGGTCGTCCTTCACCCTCTTGGATGGTGGAGGAGTCGGAGGCGCAGCTGCCCGTTTCGGCGGCCGGCCAACGCTTCTCCTCCCTCCTGACGCTGTCTCGGCAGCCTTCTTGGAGCCCGAGGAGCTGCCCGGCTCTTTCCGGCCATCAGCCTTGGCAGCCTTCTTCTGTTCTGTCGCAGAGAGTTTCAGTGTCTCTAGCAACGACACTCTCTCCGTTGACGGCACTGAGTTCTGCTTCATCCGCTTCAGGAAGTCCACAGCATTCCGCTTCTTGATGACGCCACCTGCTGCCGCCGCCGCCGCCGCCGCCTTGCCACCGCTGCCGCTGCCACCCATCTTGTCAGATTTCTTCGTCCTTTCGTCAGCTGCGGCACCCTCCAAAGCCTTCCCAGTTTTCTGATTTGGAGCGGCGTTCCTGACAGGAGCCCGACCCTTGTTGGTCCTCATACCCCTGGCTTTGTCCTTGGCGTTTCCCTTCTTCTTTCCCTCGTCGAACTCCTCATCTTCATCCGTGTCCTCCTTCTCCACTTTCTCCTTGTTAGCAGCAGCAGCCTTCGCAATGGAGCTCCGCTTCCGGCAAACAATGATCGGCGCGGCCTTCTCGAGGAGCGAACCGGCGACCTCAGCATCCGCCTTGGCCTTCTTGGCGCCGCCCGCCGAGGAGCCACCGCCGACCAGGGCAGCAGCTTTCCCCACCGTCTCGAGGCCGTCCCTCTGGAGAGTCGCGGAGATGCGCTTGGAGACGAGCGCGCGAGTCCTGGTCGCAGCGGCGTGCTCTGGCGAGCCACGCGGGAAGAAGACGAGAGCGTTGGCGCATAGCAGCAGCAGGTCGCGGAAGAACTCGGAGGCCGACGCGTAGCAAGCGCTGTCCGGCCCGCCCGCGGCCCCACCGGATTCCAGCCTGGATCCGATCATCTCCAGGTCCACGTGGCGCCTGATGGTGCCCTTGTACTTGCCGCTCTCCTGCACATAGTTTCGGTGGGTCGGTGAGCAGAGAAAGAGAGAGAAGCACCAACGATTATTATATTATATTATTGAAGCTAGTATAAAGTTGAGTCATATTTTGGGACGGAGTACGAAAGAAAAAGTTAGGAAGAAAATCAGTTTCAAATAGGAAAACCGACACAGCGTGCATGTGAGACCACGATTTGTTCTCCATTTTCCTTGTGGAGAAAATAGCAGCCAATTTGGAGGAGAAGGTTAGATTGGATTGTATTCTCTGGCGGGGGCAGGCGGCAACTAGTACCAAGTGGCCAACACGAAGGGCCCACCAGCATCGCCAACGAAGACATCGGTATTTGGGACGGGGGGCCCACCACCAGGCAACGCGCACCGCCTGCCCTGCCTATCCCCAGCTCACCGCGGGTTGGACGGTCCAGATCGATCGCGTTCGTGCCAGTACGTAACGAACGAGACGACGAGACCGTGCGAACAGCCAGATTCCATGTGCTCTTCTCCCTCGACGAAGATGTGTAGAGGGGTTATTCCAGTTTGGAAGCAACGCAAACGTGTATGGTCGCTGATGTATTTTTTGTTGCCTAATAATCAGAATAATAGTTTCGTGATTACGTCTTGCCGGCCAACGGATCTCGATGTGGCACAAAGATTGAATTATTTATTGTTAATTTACTTAATTAACCGAGATAACTATTTCGCTGAACAAGATGATGAATTGAGCATTTGTGCCTTTTTTTTACCGAGGGTAAGGAAGGTGGGAAAGGGTAAATAAGAGATTTCTTCCAGGAAAAGAAAAGAAAACGAGAGAAATTTTTTACCTGGCTCTCGAGCCGCCGCTCGAACACGGCGCCGGACTTGCTGGTCCGGACCGACTCGAGGAAGGCGAGGAGCGGCTCGGCCTCCGCGGCGGGGAGGGGCACGGGCGCCGACGTGGAAGCCAAGTCGCCACCGCCTACCTTCCGCAGCCGGCGACGCCGTTTACGGGACGGGCTGGCCGAGCTCTGCACGTCGCTGCTCTCCTTCACCGCGTCGGCTTCCTTCGACCCGGCCGCCGACTCGCCGGAGGCCTCATCCTTCGCGGCCATATCGCCGGCGGCCGGCTCATCCTTCGCCTCCGCGTCGCCGTCGGCGGCGGCACCGCCAGAGTCGTGCCCCGGCGGTGGCTTCAGATCTGAGGAGTTGGACTCCTTGCATGACCGGGCGGAAGCCTCGCCGGAGAGGCCGTTCTCACCGCCAGCCTCCTCTGGCGACTCGTTCCCTGTCTCCCGTTCATCCTTGAACGCCGGCGTGGTCTCGCCGGAGAGGCTCCTCTCTCGTTCCTCCTTCAGCCGTTTCACCTTTGATTGCAATGACCTGGCCGTGCAAACGAAAATAAATAATAAGCATTTTTTTCAAAGAAAAATAAACAGCGACCGACAGATCAGCATCGGACGGCCCACGAGAGGCCGCACTGGACGAACAGGATGAAACTAAAGGCGTTTGATGTTTCTTTTTTATTTTCTGGCTGTTATTTTTTACCCGATCGAGAGATCGTATCGCTCGACCTCGCGGCGGAGCTCGGCGACCCGCAACTTCCTGAGCTCATCCACCCACGCGTCGGAGACGGCGGCGTTTGGGTCAGGTTCCCCGCCTCCGTCCTCGTCGGCGACGGCGGCGAACCGACGGTGAAGGAGGCGGAAACGGAGGCGGCAGCTGGTGGGCGTGAGCCGCGCGGCGGCGGAGGGACTGCGCGACTGCACCTCCAACGCCACCGACTCCCAGCTCGCGGTGCCGTGGCGACTCACGGCGCACGCCAGCAGCAGCTCCTCGAGAGTCCCCCAGATCTCGCCGCCGGCCGCCGCCGCCGGCGACGACGACTCCGGCGAGACATCGGGATCGTCCGATCTGGCCGCCATCCGCCTCCCCTCCGCCCAATCGCTGCCACGTCGACACGGTGACCACGGCGAGGGCTCATAGCGCCGCCTCCATGGACGGTGAGGTGCGCTAGGGTTTGGTTGGTCTGTTTTGGCCTCGTCCCGCCCGCCTATTCCCTTCCCCTCTCTGCCTATCTATCTCTGTGTGGTTCGTCTAGGTTTTGGTTCTGGTTCGGCCCCCATCTTTTCGTCTTTTTCTCCCCATTTTTCTGCCCACTTTCTTTATCTGGTTCGCTTTTTAAAATCTTCGGAAATGGAAGCATCGTGTACCAAGCCCGATTGGGCAATTCTGAGGTTTCGAGGGGGTCTCCTCTGGAAAGTGGGCCGATTAATTGGAAAAATATTATGGCGCTGGGCCCACATGTCATTGTCCAACGGAATTGTTTATCTGACATGTTCTCCCAGGCATCCATGGTGCATGGTGCGGTGCTTTAGCGTGACAAATAATGCGGCACACCGTGCGGTGTAATAAAGAGTGCGCTGACACATCGGACCCACCGTACCTTAAGCAAGGGCTCAGTTGCTTAACCACTATTCTTAGCTTTAACTCTTGCAATCTTCATCTAGAGAGAAAGATTACGGTCTTACGGACGTCTGATTGAGTTATGTGGAACAGTGGCAGTGGTTCTATTTCTTTTTTATCACGGCGACTCACTACATGTAAAGAAAAAGTATCAGTACGACATTTCTATCTTGTGAACCGGTGATCCCTTTTCCTGGTTGCTTCGGCCGTGGCCTCCGGAGGAACTGGTCGTGGCGAGGTGGCGAGCACGTTTTTTTTTACATCAGTACAGACACAAGCGTTCATATACACGCGCATACACTCATCCTTATGAACGCACACACGCACACTCTATCCCTATGAGCACCTTCGAGAGACTGAACCGGCATATCATCTTGAGATTTACGAAGCAACCGTAGGCGCCTCGTCGTCGACGGGAACGTCTCCTCCCACTGAAAGTGCATCGCCGGAAATCCTGAAATAAATCCAGGAATAATGCAAGCACCAGGATTTGAACCCTGGTGGGTTGGGGATACCACTGTCCACCTAACCATCTCAACCACAGGTTGATTCGCGGCGAGCATGGTTGATATGTGTCTGGTGTTTTTTTTCCTTTTTCCTTTTAACTCCGCTCTTCGGATTTTATTTATTCAGCGGTAGTACTTTAAAGTATGTAGCAACATTCCTTAGGGTATCTTCAACGCACGACCTAAATGTATGTTCATTTTATCTGAATTTCGTCCGTTTAAGGATGGCAAACGGACACGCCCATCCACTTGTGGGCATGCGGCCGTCAGTGCGTCCAACCGGCCCGCCACATTGCAAACTGACCGTTTTCTCACACGTGAAATTTAACACAAAAAATCTAAAAATGACAATGCAAATAATATAAAAGATTAATATAAACATTAAGACGTCTAGCGAAGTTCATCACATTAATATAAACGTACACGTAAAAAACATTAAAGAAACTAGATAAGGACCGTCGTCGTCGCCGCTGCCGCTGCCATCGTCTTGCGTAGCCACCGTCCTACTCGTCGTCGTCGTCATTGCCTGTGAGGGTCGACGTACGGAAGTGGCTGCCAGAGGTGGGTTGGCGTGCACAACCTCTTCCGGTGGCGGGGAAGGTGACCACGGGTCGGCGTCCATGTCCGGCGTGCACGACACGGTCTCCGTCCACGTCCAGGACTGCCCGACCAAGGTCGAGTTCCATCCCGCCGGCTCCTCCCTCGGCGCATCTGCCCGCACGTCCTTCATGGCCTCCTCCTTGACGTAGGTGTCGATCTCGGGGAAGGCGACGTCGCCAGGCGCTAATAGGGCCATGATCTCCTCGAGGCCCTGCCATTGGCGCCCGTCGTGGGTGTGGAATGAGTCCTCTATCACCTGCCTTATTAGGTCCTCCTCCTCCTCGGCCGTCATTGGCTCGGGTGGTGGCGGGGACAGAGACGACAACGCGTTGGAGTGCAGGCGCGAACTAGCCTACGCCCACGCAGCTGGGGCAAGCTGGGAGCGCGCGCTGCGGTCAGAAAGCATGCGCCACGAGCTCGGTCGACGGCCCGCGAAGTACGACTACCAGCGGATGTCGTGCTCGTCACGGAGCCACGTATCCCATAGCGGCGACAATGGTGTACCTCCAATCGTCGATGAGGTCCGGCGGCAGGCGAGCACGGCGTCGGTTGATCTCCTCCAGTCGGGCGCGGCCGCTCACCGGGACCGGTGGGATGGGCATCCGATCGGCAAGAGGTGCCAGTTGTTGGGGATGGGCACGTCGCTCCACGGCAGCGGCGTGCGCATCTCCCAGTACCTCTTGTGGATCTCGGCCTTGACGTATGGTTGCTGACGTGGCGGGGCGCCGTTTGGCGAGATATGGAACGCGGCTGGTGGAGGCGGAGGTGGCAGGGTAGTGGAGCGGCGATGGTGGCCGGACGACAACCCGGCCTCATGGTCATGCCTCGTCTTGTGACCGGGGAACCAGCGGCCCACCATTATCGCCGGTGGGGACGTGGAGGAGCGTTGGGCTAGGGTTTGGTTGTCGGGCTTCGAGGAGGCACGCGTCGCCGGAGTGGGGAAGTGGAAGTGTGGACACCCACCGGTCCACGGCTTTCACATTAAAAAGGACGCTGACTGCTCGACCAGGGTGGCTGCCAGGCGGGGCCTCCTGCGCATGTGCAGTAAATGCGGGCGGTGGCTGGTAGGTGGGCGGCTGCCACGCGGGGCCGAGGCGGACGCGAAGCGGGCGCCTAGGCATCCGTTCGTCGTCCGTGTGGATGCAAATCCGACGCATGTTTGAGATGGAAATGGGGAGGGCCAGACATGAAACGGACAGAAAATGGGGATGGGGGCGCGCGTTGCGACGTGCGGTCTATCCGTTTGGGCCCAAACGGGCGGATGAGGGCGGGATGGGATCGCACGTTGGAGTTGGCCTTAGGGCATCTCCAACAGAAACCCGCAAAAAAACCTCCTGCATCCGTCCGCGGACATGGATGTGGGAGGTCGACATCCAACGCTATATGCACATACATTTCAAACTAATTTTTAACAAATCAGATGAAATTCAAGCAAACACATCCGGATTTCGTACAAACATAATGGATTTAACTACATTTCAAACATTTAGAACAAAAAAAGACCCGCCCCTATAACCTATCATGCGGCGGTGCCCGGCGTCCAAGCCCGTGTCATCCTCCTTCGACCGTCTCCATGAGCACCGGCGATAAGACCGATGAAGTGAAAGTGCGGTCTCCGGCGAGCAAGAGTAGAACACGGGAGACAGGCCGGCCCACATAGGACACCAGGCCTCGCCGCCTACCGTGGTCTACTCATCCTCGAAGGAGTTCGCGCCTTGTCCGTCGCTGGTGGACGTGAGGTCCATGAGGGAAATGGTGGCGCCTTGGCTGTTGTCGTCCCACCGGGCCGGCTGATAGTTCATCGGTGGCGCGTAGGAGGTCCGGATAGCTATGTTCTCCTCTGCGATCGCCTGTAGCTATGCCTCGACGGATGCTACTTCCTGGCGAGCGGTGGCTTGAACCTGGACGACATTGTAGATGGCATTTTGCTCCGCGATGAAATTTGGGTTCGCCGCGGCCATGGCCACCACAGCCTACTCACTTGCACGCTCGCTGTAGGTCGGGCCCTTCGCCAACCGGTATTGCTCCAGGAGGAACAGGCGTCCGGGTGCGTCAATGCGCAGCGCTGGAGTGGGTTACTCGGTTGGTGAGCCTGCTTAATGGTGACAGACGGATGGGAAGCCGCATTGAATGGGCGCGGTAGATACCCGTCTCGTCCAGTCGAGTCACGCGTCTCTAGCATTGAACAATCGTGGACACTGGAGACGTGTCACGGGTGGTGCCTGATGTCTACTACACAACCTTCTTCTTGTAGACGTTGTTTGGCCTCCAAGTGCAGAGGTTTGTAGGACAATTGCATATTTCCCTCAAATGGATGACCTAAGGTTTATCAATCCGCGGGAGGTGTAGGATGAAGATGGTTGATGACCCACAAGTATAGGCGATCTATCGTAGTCCTTTCGATAAGTAAGAGTGTCGAACCCAACGAGGAGCAGAAGGAAATGACAAGCGGTTTTCAATAAGGTATTCTCTGCAAGCATTGAAATTGTCGGTAACAGATAGTTTTGTGATAAGATAATTTGTAACGGGTAACAAGCAATGAAAGTAAATAAGGTGGAGCAAGGTGGCCCAATCCTTTTTGTAGCAAAGAACGAGCCTGGACAAATTCTTATAATGAGAAAAGCGCTCCCGAGGACACATGTGAATTATCGTCAAGCTAGTTTTCATCACGCTCATATGATTCGCGTTCGGTACTTTGATAATTTGATATGTGGGTGGAGCGGTGTTGGATACTGCCCTTTCTTGGACAAGCATCCCACTTATGATTAACCCCTATTGCAAGCATCCGCAACTAAAAAAGAAGTATTAAGGTAAACCTAACCATACCATGAAACTAGTGGATCCAAATCAGCCCCTTACGAAGCAACGCATAAACTAGGGTTTAAGCTTCTGTCACTCTAGCAACCCATCATCTACTTATTACTTCCCAATGCCTTCCTCTAGGCCCAAATAATGGTGAAGTGTCATGTAGTCGACGTTCACATAACACCACTAGAGGAGGGACAACATACATCTCATGAAAATATCGAACGAATACCAAATTCACATGACTACTAATAGCAAGACTTCACCCATGTCCTCAGGAACAAACGTAACTACTCACAAAGCATATTCATGTTCATGATCAGAGGAGTATTAATATGCATTAAGGATCTGAACATATGATCTTCCACCAAGTGAACCAATTAGCATCAACTACAAGGAGTAATCAACACTACTAGCAACCCACAGGTACCAATTTGTGGTTTTGGATACAAGATTGGATACAAGAGATGAACTAGGGTTTGAGAGTAGACGATGCTAGTGAAGATGTTGATGGAGATTGACCCCCTCCCAATGAGAGGATCGTTGGT